TACGGAGCGCCAGAATAGCTTGCCTGCCAGGAGCGCTTCCAATACATTATCCACGCACAGTTCCCAGGCAGGCAGAGTCCAACAACACAGCAGCAGTTCCTGGGTGTGCATAGCCACGCAAGTCTCCTGGGCTGGTTGGCGAGTTTGCTGGGGTCAGAGTCCGTAGAGCGAACGAGGCAGCGGGAAGGAAGGAAAAAATGCATAATGACACAGGGATGGCAAAGGGGTACCTGAAACCCCATGTTATGGGGTAGAGGGGGCAATGCCTTGTGTAAGGAGTGAGGAGAAGGAAGCTATGCTGCGGAGGAGGGACTTCTACCCACACCGCTGCTGGAGGAAGAGCAAACGCTGGCTGCCTCCCCAAGGCAGGCAGTAACAGGCTGCTGCTCCTCACCTTCTCCTCCTCCTCCTCCTCCTCCTCTCTGCTCCAGCTGCTGCGGGACAGGGTGGCGCCAGAGGTGCCTGCCTTGGCAAGGGGGGACTCTCACATCAGGTTGGGCAAGTATCGAGCAAGTTCCTACGATCATGATCCTTTCTTGGCTCTGGAGGCACTTTCCCATGCAAAAAAACCTCCTCTGTCCTGCCAGTCCCAACACTTTCCAGATCCTCCCAGTTCTCTTACTGTGTCATGTGGCTGAACACTAACAAATTCCCAGCCAGGATGATCATTAGTTCCTCATATTAAAGGCATCTACTCACCAATTAACATCTTTGGGCCCATTTGTTGTCTTCCTGAAGTGCCAGTCACTTGACCAACTTGATAAACTTCTATGATGAAATGGCTGGCTTGGTAGATGAGGGGAGAGCAGTGGACATTGTCTACCCTGACTTTAACAAGGCCTTTGACACTGTCTCCCATAAGGTCCTCATAGATAATCCAGTGGAAGTATGGGCTGGGTGAGGAAACAGTGAGGTGAACTGAAAGCTGGCTGAATGGCCAGGCCCAGAGGGTGGTGATCAGCGGCATAAAGTCTAGCTGGAGGCCAGTAACTAGTGGTGTACCCCAGGGGTCAATACTGGGTCTGATCCTGTTTAGCATCTTTGTTAATAATTTGGATGATGAGGCAGAGTGTACCCTCAGCAGGTTTGCTGATGATACAAAACTGGGAGGAGTGCCCGATACACCAGAGGGTCGTGCTGCCGTCCAGAGGGACCTTGACAGGCTGGAGAAATGGGCTGGCAGGAACCTTGTGAAGTTCAATGAGGAGAAGTGCAAAATCCTGCACCTGGGAAGGAATAACCCCAGGCACCAGTAAATGCTGGCGACCACCCAGCTGGAAAGCAGCTTGGCAGAAAAGGACCTGGGGTCCTCTTGGACACCAAGTTGAACACGAACCATCAATGTGCCCTTGCAGCAAAGGACGTTAACAGTATTGGGCTGCCTCTTCGGACAAGTGTTGCCAGCAGGTCGAGGGAGGTGATCCTTCCCCTCTACTCAGCACTGGTGAGGCCTCACCTGGAGTGCTGTGTCCAGTTCTGGGCCCCCAGTATAAGAAAAACAGGGACACACTGGAGAGAGTCCAGGGAAGGGTCACAAAGGTGATTAAGGGAGCATCTCTTCTATGAGGAAAGGCTGAGAGCGCTGGGACTGTTCAGCCTAGAGAAACGAAGGCTCAGGGGGGACCTTGTCAATGTGTATAAATACCTGAAGGGAGGGTGCAGAGAAGATGGAGCCAGGATCTTCTCAGTGGTGCCCAGCGACAGGACCAGAGGCAATGGGCACAAACTGAAACACAGGGCACTGTGTTCCTCTGAACATCAGGAAACACTTTTTTACTGTGAGGGTGACTGAGCAATGGTCCAGCTGCCCAGAGAGGTTGTGGAGTCTTCATCCTTGGAGATAGTCAAAAGCCATCTGGACATGGTCCTGGCCTGCTGGCACAGGGAGCGCTGCTTGAGCAGGGGAATTGGACCAGATGACCTCCAGAGGTCCCTTCCAACCTCAGCCATTCTGTGATTCTGTGAAAGGGAAGAAAGCAGTATGCTTGAGAAGGAACATAGGAAGCACCTGTTAATATGCCAATGCCAGGAAAACAGGAGCATGATGAACATTTCAAACCAGGGGACGTCAGGTTGCCAAAGCCTCAGTGCCCTAGAAGTCAGGCCGGTGAGAGCAGTCTAGCCAGAGGTCACAAAGCAGTAGGGGAAAGCAGCAGATGGCCATGGAGGAGCACACACAGACTGCTTCCAGGTTACCTGCCGTCGAATCATGAACGCTGCACACAAATGGGAGCAGTATAGCTCGGTCCACTCTGGCTCAAGGGATAGTTTCCTATGGAAGCAGGCTCACCTACTCATATATCTTGACCCTTTTCCACATTGCCCCAAGCTCCCAAGAGCCCAGAGAGACTTCCCGCAGCTCTCTGCCTTGTCCACCTGTCCGTGCCTAAGGATGGCTGGAGTCCGGGAGACAAGATGAAGTTGCCTCTCCCCCAGCCAGGGGAACGCAGGCATCCTTAGCCTCTCCCTGGGCCTCACCCAGGGCTGCTTACATCATCCAGCCAGCGGTTGCCACAGTAACTGCAGTTATGGATGAAGGATACGAGGTTCCTGGGGTAACAGAATGACTGCCACCCGCCTGGCTGTTGTCTCTATTGCATGGCAGGAAAGGATGATACAGTTTTCTTAAGGTGAGACCTTCCCCCCCCTCCCCCAAGCCGGGCTCCCCATCCACTCCACCCTCTGATGCGCTGCCGCAGCTCCACTCTCCACAGCCCTGTGCTCCCTGGCAACTGCACCGCTTCCTTGAACACTCAACCCAAGAAGAAAAACTGCTTTAGACAAGAAGAAATCAACCTACCCAGGCAGGAGCCATCATTTTTTTCAGTTTCAACAGCAGGTGTGCTATGCAGCCCCACCAGACCCACCCCACAGGGAACCAAGGCCTGACCCCCATGAGGATCACAGACCCCTTAGTGTTAGTGGCTGAATGGATGTCTGAAGGGCTTGGATGGAGAACTCACCGGCCCTCAGGGACCCTTGCAGTCTAGTTTCTAATAAGATCTGCTCACACTCACCTTCGTTACATGCAGGAGCGATAGTAGCAGAGGGAAGCCACACAAAACCAAAGCCTGGCAGACCTTATGGACCCCTATAGGGCTGCTCTCATCCCCATTCAAGGCAAGAGCAGCCCCGTGGCTAGAGGCAGCACTTATCCCTCTGCTTCCATGGCTGGGGAGAGGAAGCATTTACAGGACGCAGGTCACCCCTGCCTGGTGCCCTCAGCTACATGAAGAACCAAGGGAAGGCCAGGTAAAGCCTCTTCCCCTTCTGCTCCAAGTCCACCTCTGCTTCATAGCAAAGCCCTCAGGGAGAGGTGCACCAGATCAAAAGAAGTTACATGGTCGTAAGAGATAGCATCAACCATGGCCTCTGCTGAGCTCTTGTTTTCAGCAGCAGCGGCATGAAAAAGAAAACCTACTCTGCAGGCTCACCATTTGGGATCCAAAGGATGAACTCCAAAGTCTCTTTGGAGAGGGCCCAAACACAGGCTGTTATGATCCGATTAGCTACTGGATCCCCTTCTGTTTCCTGGTGTGCCAGCCTGGGAGACCACAGCCTCCAAACTCCCATCTGCTGGCTGGGAGAGCTGGAAAGGACAGAGCAAACAAGGCAGAGAGCACGAGAAGGACTCACCCTCAAAGCACCCTAGAAAATAGGGGACAACTGCCGGGGATGCTCTTGCTGTGCGCCATCTCCTCTGTACACACACATGTAACCAACTCAGCCTGTGCAATTTGCAGCCATACTGAGCATTCCCAGCTGTGGCCCCAGGTCACAACAGCAGCGCTCCCGAGTTTCAGCCTGACACAAGAACTGAGAGCTCTGTACAGTAAGTCAGGGTCTGGGTATCTCTAATTAGGCAGCCGGAGTTAGCAGACACATTAGGTCTTGATCTTGCCTCTGCTTCATGATGCAAGTGTTGGTCAGGCACTCATTAAGGGAGTACCAGTCCTCTAGTTGTGTAATTGGAGAAAGAACAGACAAAAGGGAGAGACAGATGCATACCAAGGGGACTGATTAAGATGACAGGCAGTCTTTAGAGAGCTCTTTGGTGTTCTTTGTTTTGGAGGGCCATTTCCCGAGTTATTTTGGAGGCAGGGGGGAGGGGGGGAAAGACACTCAGCACCTGGAATTATCCTAGGGCCAGTAAGTTGCATCTAGTTCTGCCACATGAGCTGACACAGCACTAACTTACACCCAGGCTGGTTATTCAGCTGAACAGCTGATCTCTCAAGTGGAAGATGTGATGCTTGGTTACCACCAACAGCTGTTAAAGGGGCTGAAGGATTTGGCTCCCATATGAGGAAGGGAGACAAAGTACCTTCAAGCAATTTCAAACGCTTTTCTTACCCAGTCTGTTTTCTCCCTCTGGCCTGGGACCACAGCCGAACTCAGGGAGGGGACGCAGGGCATGGCAAGCTACAGTGCAATGAAGATCACTTCCAGGGGTACAGTGACACCCACCTCTCCTTCATTCAAAGCTTAGCGCAGTCAAGAAGATCCACAGCAAAACCTTACCTGGGCAGTTCTTAGCCCTCTGCAAGCTAGATGCGTGTGACAGATTGCACCTCACCCCTAGACCTAGCAGAGCAGGACACCACTGCATTGGGGTCCACCTGACTAGCAGTGGGCAGACATCAGCTGCAGCACAAGAAGTCATCGTTCCCCAGCAAGGAATCACCCGTGCTGTGAAATGCAAAGGCAGCTGGCAAAGATCACATCGCTCACTGCTCCAATTCACCTGGCTGGACCCCACGCCCTAACACCGTAGCCCCACCGGTCACCTCCACCCTCAACTCCAGTTCTGACACCCCAGTAAGAGACAGCAGCAAACAGCAGCACGCAGACACTGTCCACAAGACACTGTCTAGCCCTCTCGTCTACCCAGCAGCACCCCCTTGAGTAAGGAAAGGTCTTGCCATGTCCTCATCTTCGAGGGCTCAAAGATACCCACGCCGTTCTCATCTTGATGGGACCACAGGCAAAAAAAGAAGGCCATTTCCAGCCTACGCTCACACTTTATTATATACAGAGACACGGTGAGTGTAAGAACATCAACATGGGACATGGACAGTAAGGGAGGCCCAAAGGCACTGCCCCCTGTCCCCTTGGTGCAACCAGTCAGCATAGTTTATACAAATAATACAGTATTTGAACAATAAATAAGTTTGATAAATAAGATCAAGAAATTAAAAAAACATAGAAAGACAAAGCAGCAAGGAATGATTTTGAGGGCTGTGACACATTCACAGCAGTGACAATACCACCAACACCTCACCTGCACACCAGCAGCTGAACAGACCCCCATCAGCCCTTTTCTCTCACCGTACTATGGCAAAATCCACCAAGGAGGGGGAACCGGGGAGAGTTGTATAGTTCACTACTGCTGTGCTGTTGTGGCCTAGGAGCCCTCTCTCCTTCACAAGCCCCTTTGGAAAGGGTGCTTGAAAACAAGGTAGAACCGCAGACCCGCCGTGCACAGTCACAGCTTGTCTGTTTGGCACAAAAACCCCCCTCAAACCAGTCTCTTCCCTTTCTATAGTCCTTCACATGGACACTGGCACAGTTATTAACTGAGTCAGGGCAGGGGGTGGTGGGGGAAACATCTCTAAGGAATGGGGGAGAGATGAGATGAGGCAATGCTCCCTTTCACTCGTGGGAGGCAGCGATGCTCTCATTCATCGCTCCAGAACGCTCCTTCCACATGCCCTGGCACCAATGGAGACCGGGTGGGTGACAATGCCAGCCAGTCCCCTGGCAAGGAGGGGATTACCACAAGGACTGCAGGGATGCAGCTCAGAAGTCGAGAGTTACGAGTGAAGGGACAGCAGTAAAAGGCCGCCACTGGTTATCTAAGAGAAAAATAATAGTAAGACAGCCGGTCCCTAACTCCTGCAGGAGGAGAGGCCACAGGTACACACTGATTTGACCTCCCCGTCAGCCTCAAGGCCTCCAGCTTTCTCCCAGAGATGCTGGCAGCTGGCATATGAGGGAGAGAAGGACTCCGTCCGTCATGGATAGCTCTCAGCAGGAGACAACTTGAACCCTGCCCCCTCCTGCCAACCCCCATTTTGCCCCCAAAGAAGGGCGTTGGAATGTGAAGAAACCGGGAATTGAGGGGATAGGGCAGTGAGAGAAAAATGGGAACAGATGGAGATCTGGGATGGGGAACCCGACCCCTCTGCCCTCATATATACAGACTGCTACTCATCCAGGCCCGGTATCAAGTCTGCAATGCTGTCCACATAGTAATTGGGCACCAGATCCTTGGCAGCGGCACTGTCGCTGGCCATGTAGGCCTGTGCCTCTTCCAGGCGGGAGACACCCGTCAGGGTGAGGATGGTAGAGAGGCCGCAGTTCTTGCCGAAGAGGATATCTGTCTCCAGACGGTCTCCCACCATGAGGGTGCGGGACGGGTCAACGCCGAAACGCTCCACGATGCAATCAAACATGTAGGTGTTCGGCTTCCCCACCACCAGCGCCTTGCGGCCCCAAGCGGTTTCCACCGCGGCCGTGAGGCTGCCCGTCCCTGGAGGGGGGGGGGAGG